AGAAAGAAAGAAGACAAATGTGTTGGAGAAAGAATAACAAGCATCTACTCCCAAATTTGTCCACTCTAGACACCAGTTCCCTGTAGGTTTTAATGGTCTCAGATCTAGGTATTTTAAATTGATGTTAATTGAAATAAAATCCTCTGTCAATTACTATTTCAGTAAATAAACTCATCAAAATTATTTTTAAATTTTAGTTTATGTTATAGTGTATGAATTCTATAAAACATTGTACATTTATGGAGAATGCCTGTTTCTGTTCTAGTTTCTCCAGAGCCATTCGCCCCAGCTCCAGAGGGCACCATGGAACACCATTCCCTCAGCTGGAAGCAGGACCATCTCCAGTGATCTCTGATTCTCCTCTTTTTTTCTACTTTACAGGAGAACTTACAGAAATACTTGAAAAATATGAAAGCATATCTGCCAGGTTGTAACATAATAAACTTTACTTACTTCAAACATTTTATCTGTGATGAATTCACGGTCACGGAGGCCCTCAAGGAATGGAAATGTCTTTTTTATTGCATTTGAAATCTCCAGCTTATGTCTTTTGAAGTGCTTGAATACAGTGTCATAGAGAAGCCCGTCATCTACATCCTGGTTTTTCATGAACATCCTAGGAAATAAGGACACCATGTGAAAATGGTCATCAAGATTCTGAGGTGTTTGTAGAGATGGTAAAATGAATCTAAATAAAATCTAACCTTGAAAATGTATCTTAACAACTGAGAGAAAAGAAATCTGATGAAATAAAAATAAGATGTCCCTCTCTAGTCTATAGCTTTAGGAAGGAAATACCATCATGTATCATAAAATTAATTCGTAAATAATACAGTGTGGTTTAATAATGATAACAATACCACATTATTGAGAATTTCATGAGAATATCAGTGACACCTCCTGGAACATTTGGTTCTGCTTTGTGCTAATATAAATTTGTCTATACTATTGTTATATATACAGTTCATCATTTTAGGCATCTGAATTTCAGAAATTGCTGCTGTTTCCTGTTAAAGCAATTTTAAAGCTGAGTCTCTAATTTCAGTTCTTAGTTGATCATGTTATTGCTTTGATAATGTTTTAATCAACATCTCAGTATTCCTAAATGTTATGAAAACTTAGGAGCTTTTTTTATCCAACCAGAAGAGAATTATTGGCACTTCGCAGTAGGCAACACGAAGCAGGAAACAATAATGTCACATTATTGTTTTGAATTCCTGTAAAAAAAAAAGTTTCTGGTTAAAGATCAGTAAAATGTTAACAAAGGAATTAGATTCACAATGACAAGAGAATGGTGGAGGCCAGTGAGCACTAAGAGATTTTAAATAAGATCTTGAAGACAGAAAGTGGTCAGAAAAGTGCTAGTTGCAGTAGTAGGTAGGGGATGCTCCCGGGGTTAGGAAAATAGTCTTGGCGCCCTACAGAATTTGGAATAAACAGTGGAGATTTGAAGGGAGACACACGGTAAAAACTGATTTGTTATTTGAAAAATGAACAAAGCAGTGCATACACTGCCTGTCAATCTGCATACTGACCACCTGCAGCCAGGCAACCTCTCAGGGGCAACCATTGCTGTCATTTCTTCTGTCATATGTTAATACTGCCTGCTGTTGGATTTCATATAAATGGGTGAAATATACACATGTTTTTGTGTCTGCCTTCTTTTGCTTATTATCCATATTACTGGATTGAACAGTATTTTGTTCATTTTTATTGTCGAGTGGTATTCCGCTGGGCGAATCTACCACAATCTGCTTACTCATTTTTCTGTTGATGGACATTGGATTGGATTCCAGTTTGAGATTAGTATAAATAAAACTGCCGTTCTTGTGCAAGTCTTTTTGTGGCAAGATGTTTTCATTTCTCTTGGGTAACTATGTAGGAGTGGAATCACTGGGTCATTGTGTAAAAGTAAATTTAACCATTCTAGAACATGCCAAACTGTTTTCCAAAGACTTCCTTTCTAGTTTTAGCTATTCAAGTGTGCACAATGTGATATCTCATTTTAGTTTTAATTTGTATTTCTTTAACAATGAAATTATGTCAAGCACATTTCCATGTGTTTACTGGCAATTTATTTATTTTTTGGTGAAAAATGTTCAAATGTTTGGCCCATTTATATTACTAAATTTTCTTTTATTTATTAATGGGTAGGAGTTTTTTTTATAGATTATGGATAGAAGTATATTGTCTGATTTATGTATTGTAAATATTTTTCCCTCAGTCTGTAGCTTCCTTTTATTTTCTTAATTATGTCTTTTGATGGGAAGAAATCTTTAATTTTGATGAAGTCCAATTTATTTATTTGTTTGTTTGTTTGTTTGTTTTATGATTAATGACTTCAGTGTACTATCTAAGAAGAATTTGCCACTCTAAGGTCATGAAAATATTCAAAAAGCAATTTACAATATAAGCATGGGTTTATATCTGTACTTCTCATGCCATAGCATTGATCTGTTTATCTACCCTTATGCTGATATGATTTTGTCTTAAATATCATGGCTTAAAACTTGAAGTCAATTAGAAAAGATTGTCTTGGACTTTCCAGATTATTTGATTTGCCACATACCTTTCAAATCAACTTGTCAATTTCTGCAAGAAAAGCTTTCTGGATTTTTCTTGGATTTGAATTGAAACTATAGATAAATACGGTGGAACTGACAACAATATTGAGCTTGCAATCTGCTAGCATCATATATTTCTCCATTTACTTAGAATAATTTTACACAGCTGTGTTAACAGCTTTCAGCATAAAAATAAGCACAGCTTTCATTAAATTGATTCCTATTTTATTATCTCTGGTGCTACTTTAAATAATATTGCTTTTCAAATTCCTACCATTGTATGAAAATATAATTGGTTTGAAAAATATTAACCATATATTTACGGTATTGCTAAGTTCATGTATTAGTTCTAGTAAATTATTACATATTTCCTTTATATTTTAAAGAAAATAATCATGTCATCAACAAATAAAAACAGATTCACTGTTTTTATCCCCAAATAACAATTATTTCTTTTTTTGGATCTTATTTCACTGGTCTGGAGTTTAAATACAATGTTGAAGAGAAGAGGTGAGAGACGACTTCCTTGCCTTATTTCCAATTTTAAGGAAAAAGCAACTAGAAAAGCACTAAATATGATGTTTGTTACACCTTTACACATATTCTTACCTTTTTCCCTTTCTTTCTCTTTCTCTCTCTCCTCTCTTTTTCTTTCTTTCTTTCTTTCTTTCTCTTTCTTTCTTTCTTTCTTTTTCTCTCTTTCTTTCTTTTTCTCTCTCTTTCTTTCTTTTTCTTTCTCTCTTTCTTTCTTCTTTCTTTCTTTCTTTCTCTCTCTTCCTTTCTTCCTTCCTCCCTCCTTTCCTTCCTCTCTTCCTTCTCTTCCCTTCCTCTCTCTCTTCTCTTCCCCTCTCCTCCCCTCCCCTTCTCCTCCCTTTCCCCTTCCCTCTCCTTTCCTTCCTCTTTCCTTCCCCTTTCTCTTCTCTTTTCCCTCCCCTCCCCTTGTCTTCCCTTCCCTTCCCTTCTCTTCCCTTCCTTCTTTGAAGGTTTCACTCTGCTGTCCAGGATGGAGTGCATCACAGCTCATGACAGCCTCACACTCCTGGGCTCAAGTAATAGTTCCACCTCAGCTTCCTGAATAGCTAGGACTACAGATGCATGTCACCATGTCCAGTTAATTTTTTATGTTATTTTTATATTTTGCAGAGATACGGTCTTGCTTTGTGGCCTAGGCTGGTCTTGAATACCTGGCTTCAAGTGATCTTCCCACCTTGGCCTCTCAAAGAGTTGGGATCACAGCTGTTAGCCACTGTGTTTTGCATTTCTACCTATTTCTAATTTGCTGAGAATTTTATCATGAACATATGTTGAATTTTATCAAATGCATCTCCCAAGATATTCATATGATTTTCCTACCTATTTCTAATTTGCTAAGTTCCTACCTATTTCCAATATGCTGGGAATTTTATCATGAACAGATGTTAAATTTTATCAAATTCATTAATGACATATTAATATGTTTTTCCTTCTTTATTTTTTAATTGGTAAATCACATTGATTGATTTCCAAAGCCTACTCTTAATTAGAAACAAATAACCACAGATCAATAGACACTTGAGTAAATCAACAAACTTAGAATGTTGAGCAGGGTTGGTGATGAAAAACTGAGTTAAAAAATTTTTTTAAGCACGGAAACAATATAGTGGAACAGTATGGTTTCAGATCAACTGTAACAATTACAGAAATACAGATTAAACAATGAATTTGAAAAGTTGAAGGTAACTACTAATTAAGTAAAATCAGACATTATAAAACCTATGAAACACTGAAAATAAAAATAAAGAGCAAACATAGTTTGCATTTTTAGAGAGATAAGAAAAACAGTGAATTATAAAAGGCAAAACAGAAAAAATGTTGAAAAATTATAACACTGAATATGCATGAAAAAATGATACTGAAAGGCAATATCAATGATATTGAAAAGGCATCGTCAATATTGTTGATATTGATACTGATTGGAATCAAAGATAGAATCCAACTGAACACACAGTGACACAAAATATGTTGAAATGAAAAATATGCAATTTATAGTATGCAACTTTAAGTAAAACAAAAAGCAGAACAGTTCCCATTAATGTCAATTCAAAATTCAAGAAACAAATAATGGGAAAAATGTTTTGTGAGCATTGCAAAACAATTCACCCCTAGTTTTTTACTCTTTCCATGTACCAAAAATGGACAAAATATACAGGTTCTACATAAATTAATAAGAAGGATTTATTATTTAATATTGTGACTTAAAAACAGAGGAATACATTATCAATATTTAGCATAATCTTGGCCACAAAAGTCTCAGTAAGTTACAATCAATAGAAGTGAAACAGATTGTATAATGAAAATAAATTTCTTAAGATTTTAGAAAACAAAACAAAGCACACTGTGTTGGGTAAAAGATGAAATAAAACTTGTAGCTGCAGGGTATTTAGAAACAAAAAGAAAGAGAAAGAGAATGACAATGAGATTAAATAAGAGAAAAAATAGTTCAATATTAGAAAATCTCTATAATTTTACATCAATAAATGAAAGGAGAGGTATTTAAATATATTCACAAATGGTTTTAACAGGGAATTTGATAAGTCTTAACAACGATTTTTTAAAGTAAAAACTCTATGTGAAATAAAAACTAACATAACATGAACTCTAATATCAGCAAATGTTATAGTAAATATGAATGGTGAAGTTATTTAAATAGAAAACAATATCATAATGTCTACCATTACCACCATTATACATATATACACATATATATGTGCATGTGTGCATGTATGTGTACAAATATATATATATGCACATACACATATGCATATTTTGGAAGCTTTACCTAATGTGATAGACTACGAAAATAAAACAATTAGTATAAATACTAAAATAGGGTACACTATTATGTGTTCTATAATTACATACATAGAAAAGCTAAAGACCTAATAAAATTCATAAGAACTAGAAAATTAATTTGCCAAATGATATGGTTTGGTGCTGTGTCCCCGCCCAAATCTCATGGCAAATTGTAATCCTCACATGTTGGAGAGGGACCTGGTGGGAGATGACTGGCTCA